TATCTATTCATTCTTGTCATGGAAAGACTTTCCTACATGATCTTGGAGAATGAAGAAAGGGGTTTATGGAATCGTTTAAGTGCTCTAGAAGAGGTATAAAATTAAGTCACTTGTTCTTTGCTGACGATCTTTTATTGTTTACAAAAGCTAAATCTGATCAAATGAATAATATTCGTAACTGTCTACATGAGTTCAGCCGAGCAGCGGGAGTTGAGGTAAACTTACAAAAGTCAAAAAAATTTATCTCCCCAAACATCAACTTTAATACAGCTAGAAATTTAAGTGATTTATGTGGTATTCCCCTCACGGATGATTTGGGAACCTATTTGGGAGTTCTAATAATCCATAAGAGGGTTAATACAGGAACTTATGCTCCTCTTATAGACAAGGTCATGAGAAAATTAACAAGCTGGAAGGGACGAGTTTTATCCATGGCTGGTAGAAGAACTCTCATCCAAGCTGTATCAAATGCAATCCTAATCCACATTATGCAAATTGCAATGCTGCCAGTGTCTGTCTGTAATAAACTAGACAAGTTAAATGCAAATTTCCTGTGGGGAGGAGAAACTGATTATACGCACAAGCACCTAGTGAGCTGAGAAAAAGTTTGCCGATCAAAGCAGATGGGAGGACTTGGCCTGCGTAAAACTAGATCTATGAACTGTGCTCTTATGGCAAAAAATAGCTAGAAATTACTCACCAGACAAGAAAACCTTTGGTGCAAAATTTTCACAGGAAAATATCTTAAGGATAAAGAATTCCTAGAGATAGAAACAAAACGAAATAGTTCTTCCACTTGGAGGGGGCTACTAACCGCTGGTAAATTAATCAAGAAAGGTTGTAAGTGGCAAATCAAGTCGGGCACACAAATTAAATTCTGGCGAGACTGGTGGGTCGGGAAGGAACCACTGAAGAATATATATCCGATTATGGATAATCCTAGTAGAAACGAAGAGGTCACAAATTATATCGATGAGAACAAATCGTGGAACATCCAAGAAATTGAACACGTAATCTCTGAAGAAACTAGAAGGAAGATTCTAAAAATCTCGATACCAATTTTGGCCGATAATAAGGAAAGGGATAAAATTGTTTGGGGTTTCTCTAAAGACGAGTTGTTCACTGTCAATTCAGCTTATCAAGTAATGTCCAATATGGAAATGGGTGAGCAAAATGGAGAAAATCTTAAGTGGATATGGAAAACACGCACAAGCGAGAGAATTAAATTCTTCGTTTGGCTTTCCTATCTGGACAAGCTCAATACAAATGAAGTCAGAAATAAGAAAAACATGACACATGATCCAAATTGCAAAGAGTGCCGAAATGAGATAGAATCAATAAATCATATTCTACGAAGATGTCCCATAGCAAAAAGGATATGGGAAGAGCTAAAGGAAAGAGATCAGGATAACCTTTTCGACTCGATGGAATTTAAAAAATGGCTGAAAAGAAACTGCCTCTCAAAGAAACCCGGGATTGACGGATTGGAATGGGGTCCCTTATTCTTGGCAGTCTTTTGGGAACTATGGAAGAATAGAAATGAAAGAGTGTTCATAGAAGGGAAAGCATACCCGTTTAAAGTGATAACTTATGCTAAACAATTCGCAAGAGATATGGAAAAAGCCTTGTCAACCTCTCATAGAAGAATGGCAAATAACCCATGTTGGGTTAAATGGAAAAAACTGGCCGAGGGAAGTTGGATTTTAAATACTGATGGTGTGTATAAAGCTAATTCATGTTTGACTGTTGCAGGTGGACTGATCCGGGATTGCAACGGAGACTGGAAATGTGGATTTATGATGCGGTTGGGGAACGAAAATAGCTCGATCGCCGAAATCTGGGGAGCTCGACAGGGGCTCATGCTAGTTAAAAATATGGGATTAAGAAATGTAATCCTGGAGATGGATGCGAAATGGGTGGTGATTGTTTGAAAGGTGAAAATATAGAAGAAATAGCAAATTATGAGCTGGTAAAGGATTGTCTTAACATCTTGAAAGAAGGCTGGGTAACAGAGGTCCGACACATTTGGCGTGAAGGAAATAAATGCGTCGAAAAACTGGCAAATATTGCTTTGATCCAAGAAGAAGAAACCTCTATCTTGCAAGGACCTCCAACCGATCTCATTGAGCTATTGGAAGCTGATAAAAATAGCGCCGGAGAGTTGAGACAATAGTTTGTCATGTGATATTTCTTTGTACCAAAAAAATATACACTATAAATATGTGTTTGGAATTATGGATTTTAGTCCGAACACTCCATTGTTTCCTACCAATCAAGCAATTGAATAACCGCAATGGCATGTATTTTTTTGCCTCAATTTTTTGAGTTAAAGCAGCACGGACGGTCATCACTCCGACTGCAGGCCCGTTAAGCCAAACTTTTACGACGTAATCATTTATCTCCCTCAAGTTCAAGTTCACCACCTCATGCGCCTACCAGGTATGGACTAATCTCATATAAAATCTGCAATAAAAACCTACTTAAAGCTCTTTGTCTACGCTTTTAACTTCTTTCTCCACCACAAAACAATATTCATTATCAAGAAAAAATAAAAGAAATGGTTTACTAGGGCAATTTTACACAAATAATGATCATATCGGCATATGAAATTTATATTGATTGTGGCAACACCATTTAGAAGTGAATTGAAAGGGTGTTTCGTCGTATTCAACCAAAATCCTGGTTTAACCTCGACGTTAGAATGTAAATATTTTCGCTTATACTGACTGATACATGCAGATAATAGTAGTATTTTGTTACTGAAGTCAACAGTAGATTTTGCAATTTTCCGGTCAAAAATATTATTTCCAAGTTCTTTATCGCCTTTATGAAAAGGAAAACAAAATACTACAGTTCAACTTTATGAAATTAAATATCACCAGTAGCTACTGATTTTCTTGATCCTCCTGGAAAAGATGCTTTAAATTATCCTTGAAAGTCTCTTTAATGGATGGACTCGTAAATTTTGTCATGCGTGGATAACCAGGACTCAAAGAGCTCAATGAGTGTATCCCTAGAATTCAAATGCTTTGGTGAATAATATTGGTAATGCTTTAGACACTATCTCATATATTGAGTGGGAAATATACCATTTGTAAAGGTATTTATAGTGTTTATTTTTTCTCTCCCTTGTTGAGTGATAGAGAACAAGGGGCTATCTAGCGCGTCGCCGGCGCTGCCCGGCTTAGGGCGTTGACGTGATAATACATGTCTCTAACACATCCGCACACGTACTATCTTTTTTGGATAAAAATCGTAGAGATTTTTTAGGAAAACAAAGAATGTGAGAATTTTGCACAGTAACCTTTTTTTCAATCCAAATTTTTAGAAGTAAATATTGGAGACTGAATATGAGATGTATTTGGACAGTATTTTCAGTTATGTTCAGAGTAAATAATGAGTTGTTTTATTGTGACAATTACAGAAAACTACAGAATAAATTTCGGTTACAATAGCTAATTATAAATCATGAATTTTGACTGCTTTGAGACTAGATTCATTTGTTTATGACAATGTTCAAATAGAATTAAATCCGAAAAATCAAAATCATATTTATATATGATTTTTACTTGTACATTTTTGTCCCTGAGCCCAACCTATAAATAGAGAAGTATTTTCAACTTCTCAACTCTCAAACATTCACAATTCCTCTCAATACTCTAAAGCTTTCTAAGCTTACTTTATTTTTTAGGTGCTAAGAAAAGAATACTATTGGTGCAGTTCACTCTTATTTTCGGGTGTATGAATACTTGGAGCGACTGTGTTAACGTCGGGGGATGATCCACCTAACGTAGCGATTACACACATCGAGATGAATTTGTTTCTAAGATTGTGGTTTTATCATGACACGGTTTAGATTTTCTATTCAACTATTTTTATTTAAATTGTCTTGCTAGTGCTAACGATGTGGTTTTGCCGTATACATATTTCCAACAAATAACCCAATATGAAGAAATCTCGAAAAAATGAAAAAAAAATGAAAAAGAAAGCCATGAATGATAGAAAGAAAAGCTAGGAAAGCAAATAGATAGCCATTTTTGTTTTCTAAAATTTACTCATACCTTGTGAATTATGATTGGCGATACAACATTCTAAACCAATAACATCTCAGAAAACGCTCAAGCAAACAACCTTCTATAATCATTTCTTTCATCGAAGAAGCCAAACCTGATAAAGCTTTGTCTTGGATCTTCCCTCTTCCGGCATTGCTGTACAATCTACCAGCAAGCAATTGAGGAGGTTGGAAATAGACCATTACCATTAATGGTACAAATTATGTGCACAATCAGTTCGCATAAAAATTATTGAGTTTTATGATGCTTTTCTTTGTGTAGTTTTTGGGACTTAAGAAAAATTAGAAATTATTTTTTTGGGTAAAATAGATATAAAATATTGTTTGGGGACCTATTTGATATTTTAATAATAGTTTAGGAGTAAAACTAAATATTAACCTTTTTGTAACATTGTCACATCATAAATTTAATATATTTAACGGTGGTGGGATGATTTTATTATAAATTATAATCTTAGTGATCAATTTATTACTTTTAAAAATTCAGCGATGAAAATAAAAAAATTACTCAATCAATTATTTACCCAAAATGTTATCAAAATCACTTAAAAAGAAATCTTTTATTTATCCAAATATTATAAAAATTTCTCATGTAGCATGATCCATCGGACCATATCTGACGGCTAGGATGAACCTACAAATCTCAAGATATATATAAAATTTCTTTACTACAATCTACCCTGGAATTGGCTTCCAAGGATCGCAGCCGCCCCAGCTCCAATGCTTCCCAAAGCTTACCGAACCAACTCAATCAACTTGAAGCCGTCTCCGATCGTTGCCCTTGCTACCAGCCCTGACGACTCCCAAATTGCGGCATCTCGTGAGGATGGCTCCCTCGAGATTTGGGTTGTCTCTCCCGGCTCCGTTGGCTGGCATCATCAGCTGGTACCCTCAGCTTTTAGTTTTACTTCACATTAATTTATTGGTGTCTTTGTGTATACTATTCGTGGAGATTATATTTGTCGAGTTTCTTCGCTGGTGTGGTGTCGCGTTGGATCAAAAGGCCTGTCTTCTGGCAGGTTGTTCTCCTCCAGTATTGATGGCTCAGTCTCGGAATGGGATCTTTTTGACTTGAAGCAGAAGGTTATTTCGCATTCATTTTCGTCGCTTTTTCTTCCTTTCCATTTTTGCTATTCTCTGCTTTATTAACCTGCTTGTTGAACTCAACCGGGCTGTAGTAGATGAATCCAACTTCCCTAACTTCAATGAATGCATTTCGATTAGTTTCTTATGATCTATTGAATAATGAGGATAATACCTGAGTTCTGAGGCCCGCTTTTCTCATTTTCTTACGGTTGCCTTACTGTAGGCTTAATTTTTTTTTTATGATGGTTAACTTATCAAAATATTGCTTTGATCGAAGGAGAGTGACATATGGTTTCACAGATTTTACTGATAGACTCCAGTTGAATGCATTTCCTTCTGTTGTATTAGCTCTCTAATGTGCAAGGAGCGATCAGTAGAAGTTAGCTTGTATTCATTGTTTATTTATGTGATAAAACCCTTTTGCAGATTGTGCTAGAGTCAATTTGGGTTTCCATATGGCAGATGGCTGTGGCACCTATTAGTAAACTGCCAACTCATGAAGAGACTAGGTCTCACAATTTTGGAAATGGTGATTTGAACAACAAATGTGAATGTAATGATACTGATGATGATGAAAACTGTGAAAGTGAAGATGTTTCAGAGTCAGAAGAAGCTCATCATAAACTAGTTATGGAAGATAGACGTGTAGCAATTGCTTGTGATGATGGAGCTGTGAGGATTTACACTATTTCTGATATGGATAAGTTAATCTACCTTAAATCATTGCCCCGGGTTAGTGGTGAGATACCTACACCTAAGGTACTATTCTTCTTAGTTTATTGCTCTTATTTTTTACTTGAAGCTTATTCGTGGTAATACTATTTGCAGGACGTGCACTAAGTGTGACCTGGAATCATGATTCAAATAGAATATATTCAGGGAGTAGTGATGGGTAACTTTTTCTTCTAGTGAATATGATGTTATTCATGTTATTTTATGACAAAAAATGTTTATCCATATAATACTTGTTTATTAATTTATTTTTTTGATTTATTTATAATATTAATTTCAATATCGCTGAAATTCTATGTAGGAATGGTAATTGAGCAGGGCAGAGGTGGGGGATTGCCTCTTCCACTTCTGCACCTTCTTTCATGGATGTTAAAAACATCTATCTCCATGTATATCGGTTACATTCATAACCGCTTTATCTGTTTTATTTGCTTTACCCATTTTTTATAAGTTATGGATATAATTTACCATATATAGTTCATTAGTATGTATAATATACATTTATATTAAAATATTTATATTTCTTGTATATATATGATTCTAGTATGCATATATGTCTAATATATATCATAAATATATTAAAGGGATACATATAGTATTTTAAGTGGTAAAATATTTATTCTAAAAGGCGGCAAGGAGCAGAGCACGCATTTACCAATGTTGATGCATTCCATTCCCATCTCCATCTTAAAGGAAAAGAAAAAGAGAAAAAACATCTCCATTTAGAGTTGATCTTTGCAAAATCCATGAGACAGATTACAGAGCGGTTGCTCTTATTTTATCCAATTTAATCTTTTCTAGCTGGTAACATCTACACTAACCTTCCTGCAGGTTTATTAGATGCTGGAATGCTGATTTGGGTCATGAAATTTTCAGAAGTGTTGTTGCTCTTGGAGGTTTGGGCAGTGGGCCTGAGTTTTGCATATGGTCATTACTTTCTTTGAGGTACATATCATATCTTCTATCTCAACTGAATGAGCACTCAGTTGCAATATGTGATGAAATGTCAATGGCTTATCATGAATGGTTAATGTGATTCCTTTTGATGGTTGTTTTATTGTTAAATTCAGGTGTGGAACTGTTTAGTGCAAACAGCACTGGATCTTTTCAGTTCTGGAATGGTGATAATGGGACTCTTCTCCAGGCACACTCTAACCACAAAGGTGATGTAAATGCCTTGGGAGTAGCTCCAAGCCTGAACAAGGTGTTCTCTGTTGGGTCTGATGGACAGGTATGGATGGCAAGGGGTGGGGGGTGATCTTTTCACCCTTTTTTTAAGTTTAAATTATTAAAACAAAGACAGAAAATAATAGGTGTACAATTCTCTTTCTCAGCTATAATTTCTTTTTGGAATTTAGTTGCATCAAATTATTAGATTTAATCTTGGTCCTTGTCACTAATGTCTAGTGTGTTCTCACATTTTATAGGTTATTCTTTATAAGTTTTCCAGTGAGATGCTTCAGTCTGATAATGACAAATCATCTCCTGAAATTTTTAAGAAATGGGTATTTGTCAGTTCTGTAAGGGATTGTAAGCACTATTTTTAACCCAAACCCCAATTACAAGCAGTGGTTGCATCAGAGTCAATTTACACGGACGCACTAAATCCGCCTTCAAGAGCGAGGCGTAAATTTCTTAATATGGTATTGGCACTGATGAGAAAGTTGGTATTGTATTCTCCCTTCTCTGCCATCTATTTTCATGGGTGTTGGTCCTCTTCACCTTAGGCTGAGAAACTGTAACACTGGCTGCGTAGTTCTTATTATAAGTGCTCGAATAGTTTACTTCGTTGTCTTTCTTCTTAAAATAGAGTTTCTTCGACCCTTCTTCTCCTTCAATCTTTCCACTTCTGATGGCATTCTCGATTAATTCTCCGGAAATGACCAAGTCAGCAAAGTTCTTGGTAGCATTTCCTAACAGATGCCCCAGATATGGAGCCTTTAGGGTATTCACAAAGATAACTATAGCCTTCTTCTCCAGCAATGGGGGTTGTACTTGTGATGCCATATCGCGTCATCTTTGGGCGTACTGCCTGACGGTTTCACTGTGTCGCTTTTCCATGTTTTGCAACTTCCACCTGTCAGGTACCAGGTCAATGATGTGACGATACTGTTCTAAAAATGCCCGTGCCAAATCCCTCCATGATTTGATATGGGATCTGGTCAACTGATTGTATCATTTGATTGCCGATTCAGTTAGACTGTCTTGGAAGCAACGCATCAACAATTTTTCATTTTAAATTTGACCCGTCATTCTTCTGCAGAACATAGTGAGGTGAGCTGATGGGCAAGTAGTTCCATCATATTTTTCAAAGTTTGGTGCTTTGAACTTCGGGGGCAGTATTAGATTGGGAACCAAGCTTAGCTCCCTTGCGTCCATTCCGTAGAATGGTTCCACCTCTACTGATCTTATCCTTTCCTCCAGGCTTTTCAACTGCTGGGTTATTTCACTGTTAATCTTTTCTTTTTCTGATACTTCCTGAAAGTCGGGTGGCAACTCCTCCACGCCTGAATCAACAGGTCTTACCCTAGCAGCTGATGGGTAATTGTTTTGAAATGCGGACTCAATATAATTTTGTTGATTTGCCATGTAGACACCTGGGTGAGCTTCTTGCAAAGCTGACGATCTAACAGAAATGTGCACTGGGTGAAATCGGGAGGATGCGGAGGGTCTGGTGTAAACCCCGGATGGTGCTGGGAATCAGATGTAAACCCAGCAGGATGTGACGCTCCTGGTCCAAACTCTGGAGGATGCGAGGGATCTTACTCGGATGACGTTGGTTGGTCAATCACGGTCCTTCCACTCGTAGCATATTTTTTAAATATCCCTTCGATCTTTTGCAGCAGACAGACTTGCGAGTTTGCCATCTCTGTTTCCATCTTACTTAGTCTCTCTCTCATTTCTTCTTGAGCTTCTCTTTGGTCTTGTTCAAGTTGGGTTAATCTTGTCTCCATTTTCTTGGTTGTATTACGAGTACCGTAGGAGTGTGAGGTAAATGTCAGGATAACTACAAATGATTTGGAAATTATATTTATTATTTGGTGAATTTTAATGAATGAATAGATTTTTATAATGTAATCATTATGATTTTAAACATTTAGAGAAAAACATTTGAAAATGCAAATGCAACTTGATATTGATTCCAAAATAACTTAGTTTATACAAAAAGTACTAAACAACACAATGTCTAAGCACTTAGGCAAAGAAAGCACATTAACATGGAAACTAAACGTAGAATCTTGCCTTATCCCCTAATCTCTCGAGCTCTATCATTAATCCCATGATGCGTCGTTCTTCTTCTGATTCTGGGATCACAAAAACTCTTAAGGCTTCCGCTTTTTCAGATAATTCGTAGACTTGACGAGCAACACCATGTGCCTGATTCACTGCTCTCTCCATTGCTTCATGTTACCTCTGAATGGTGTCCTGAGCTTGCCGTAGCGTAGTTCCAAGTTCTGGATTAGTCAATGGTCGACTCTCTTTTAACTGCTGAATTCACTGATGGCATCTTTGTACTGTAACTTCTAGCTCAACAATCTTGGTTTTTAAGACCTCGTTTTTCTGTCTGGCTATCTCTTGTGCGGAAGAGTGGATCAACCTTGCTCTTTCTAGCTCTGCTATCATCTTCTTTAATATCTCATTTTCTTTTTGAAGACGGAACTCATTGCTATTGTAAGAGTTCTGAAAAGTCATCCAAACTAAGTAGTTGTGCTTCGAGTTGCTCAATCTGTGCTCGCCTCTGTGCCAATTCCTGGTTAGCCTTATCTCTTTGCTCTCTCATTCTCTAAGCGTGCTGCAGGGCTTGTTTCTTTTCTTCTTTGCCCCTCCTTGCACTTCTCTCGTCAGCGTGATGATCTTGGTTATGAACCCTTTAGGTCGGATTGCCTTGGTGTAAATGGAATGCCTTCTAACATTCGGGATGTTCAACAAAGTCGTATACTCTTCCAAGGTAGGGGTCATGTCCACTTTACCGAAATGAAATATCTGTAGGCTGGATTCCAATATTCGGCCTGAGCTCGAACCACCACTGAATCTATTAGTACTCAGCATTTCTATGCTGTCGCCGTATATCTCTCTGAATAGTGCATTCTCATTATCATCTTAGGTGGCCCAAATTCTTGACAACTCAGTCCAATGCGCCTGCCTGATTCGGATAATTACATTCTCTGGCAAACTGATTCTTTAGTAGTGACAAGGTTGTCTCCGAACCGCGCCTGCCCGGTACTCGGACCAGGTCTGAACACTGATTTCATTCTCAGTCCCATCGTAAGACATTGTTATCTTAAGCTCTTTTTATAATAACTAAGTAATCTGGGAATCAATATCGTTTATGAAATGATGTGATATAATAATGATACATTTAATCTTGAAAACAATCAATAAGTTAGTGATATTAGAAAAAATCAATGAATAATTAGCGAAAATTTAAAGTATCAAATGCGAATCAAAGAAAATTAAAAATCCTAACATAATGTGAAGAAGTTTTTCTAAGTTATCCGCGTGGCTTTAACGGGGTAGGCTTACTAGATTCTCTGTATGTGGTAGGATTCTAGCAAATGTTCTCGAGCAATTTTTACAATTTGCTAAAGTTGACTCCGATTCTGGCCTATTACTGACTTGCGAATCGGGTTTCGCTCAGGGGATCACACTACTAAAAGCATACCTCGAAACTGATATCCGGATAGACAACTTAGGATGTTTTCCAGAGATATTTTATTAGACCTACACAAGGAAGCCCAATGATCATCGTGAGGTGTGACGTTTCTCTCTACATAAGTAAATCATGTTGGTTTTTTTAAACAAATTGAGAGTCGATCCTCGAGTTGGTTACATGTATTTATGATTTTGAAAATTACGAGTTCAATCTTATTTAATTTACGGTTCATTATGTTATTTAAAAAAAAAATAGATTTTCTCTGGTTAAAGCTTGTGCTTTTGTGAATTTATTTAGGACTACTGCATATCATAGCTCTAAACCCGAGCTCAAACCCGATTTATCTAAGTAGAGAAAAACGTCACACCTCACAAGGAGCATTGGGTTTCCTTGTGTGGGTCTAATAAAATATCTCTGGAAAGCATCATAAGTTGCCTATCCGGATATCAGTTCCGAAGTACGCTTTTAGTGGTGTGATCCCCTGAGTGGAACCCGATTCACAAGTCTGTAATAGGTCAGAATCGGGTTCAACCTTAGCAGGTTGTAAAAATTGCTCGGGAACCTTTGCTAGAATCCTGCCACATACAGAGAATCTAGCATGTATCATTATCATATCACACTATTTCATAAACGATAAAAATTCCCAAATTACCTAGTTATTATAAAAAGAGCTTAAGGCAACAATGCCTTAAGATGGCACTGAGAATGCAATCAGTGTCCAAACCTGGTCCGAATACGGACAGACGCGGTTCGAGGACAACCTTGTCACTATTGAAGAATCAATTTTGCCAGAGAAAGTAATTATCCGAATCAGGCAAGCGCATTGTGCTGAGTTGTCAAGAATTTGGGCCACTTGGGATGATAATGAGAAGACACTGTTCAGAGAGATATATAGCGACATCGTAGAACTGCTGAGAGTACCAATAGATTCAATGGTGAATCGAGCCCTGGCCGAGTGTTGGAATCCAACCTACAGGTGTTTCACTTTCGGTAAAGTGGACATGTCCCCTATCTTGGAAGAATATCTGATTTTGTTGAACATCCCGAATGTTAGAAGGCATTCCATTTACACCAAGACAATCTGACCTAAGGGGTTCATAACCAAGATAATCACGCTGACGAGAGAAGCGTAGAGGGGCCAAGAAGAAAAGAAACGAGCCCTGCAACACGCTTAGAGACTGAGAGAGTAAATAGATAAGGCTAACCAGGAATTGGCATAGAGGCAAGCACAAATTGATCAGCTTGAAGCACAACTGCTTATTTTGGATGAGACTTTCCAGAACCCTTACAACAATAATGTGTTCCGTCTTCGAAAAGAAAATGAGATGTTAAAGAAGAGGATAGCGGAGCTAGAAGGAGTAGGGTTGATCCACTCTTCCGTACAAGAGATAGCCAGACAGAAAAACGAGGCCTTAAAAGTCAAGATTGTTGAGCTAGAAGTTTTTAGTACAGAGATGCTATCAGCGAATTCAACAGTTAGATAAGAGCTAACCATTGATTAATCCAGAACTTAGAACCGCGCTACGACAGACTCAGGACACCATTCAGAGGCAGCATAAAGCAATGGAGAGAGCAGTGAATCAGACCCGTGGTGTTGCTCGTCAAGTCTACGAATTATCTAAAGAAACGACAGCTTTTAAGAGTTTTCGTGATCCCAGAATCAGAGGAAGAACGACGCATTATGGGATTAATGATAGAGCTCGAGAGATTAGGGGATAGGGCAAGATTTTACATTTAGTTTCCATGTTAATGTACTCTATTTGCCTAAGTGTTTAGACGTTGTGTGTTGTTGAGTACTTTTTGTATAAACTAAGTTATTTTGGAATCAATATTGAGTTGATTTGCATTTTCATATGTTTTTTTCTAAATGTTTAAAATCTTAATGATTACATTATAACAATTCATTCATTTATTAAAAGTCACCAAATAATTTGTAGTTATCCTGACATTCACCTAACACTCGTACGGTACTCGTAATACAACCAAGAAAATGGAGGCAAGATTAGTCCAACTTGAACAAGACTAAAGAGAAGCTAAAGAGAAAATGAGTGAGAGACTAAACTAAGTAAGATGGAAACCGAGATGGAAAACTCGCAAATCGGTTTGCTATAAAAAAGATCGAAGAGATATTTAAAAAATATGTTACGAGTTGAAGGACTGTGGTTGACCAACCAGCGTTATCTGAGCAAGATCCCTCGAATCCTCCAGGATTTGGACCAGACCCTCCGCATCCTCCCGGTTTCACCCTAGTGCACATTTTGTTAGATCGTCAGCTTTGCAAGAAGCTCGCCCAGGAGTCTACATGGCAAATCAACAAAATCATACTGAGCCCGCATTTCAAACCATTTACCCACCAGCTGCTAAGGTAAGACCTGTTGAATCAGGCGTGGAGGAGTTGCCACCTGACTTTCAGGAAGTATCAGAAAAAGGAAAGATTAATAGTGAAATAACCCAGCAGTTGAAAAGCCTAGAGGAAAGGATAAGAAGAAGTTGCATGATTGAAAGAGGAGAAGGGTTGAAGAAATCCTATTTTAAGAAGAAAGACAACGAAGTAAACCATGAGAGCACTTATAATAAGAACTATGTAGCCAGTGTTACAATTTCTCAGCCTAAGGCGGAGAGGACCAACACCTATGAAAATAAGGAGTTGGATCAGCATCAACTTTTTGCTCGATTCTATCACAGGAGGTAAATCAGCACCGACATCGCGTTCAATTCTATCACAGAAGGAGGTGGATCAACATCTCGTTTGATTCCATCACAGAAGGAGGTGGATCAACATTCCATCACATAGTGAAAAGAATTTGTTCAACCTTGGAGAAAGACGGGTCGGCATCCCAGCCCAACACCAACCCAAGCCCAACAACTACTCTCACAGACCCGTACCCAAACCATCTGACCCGATTACAGACCCATATCCGACCTAAGGCCCAACCGACCTGACCCTACTCACCTAACCCTAGGCAACTTGCTGCCTCAACTTGCTGCTGTCGCCACCAGAGCACTGTCCCCTGTTTCCTGCCACTACCAACTCAAAAGGGATAAGTGCATGTGAGATTTTATCCAAAGCATCATCACACCACAAGTTAATTTTTTATTTTGAATCTATGTAAAAAAGAGGCTATAAAATACAAATAAAACGTAAGAGAAGGGAGGTTTTTTTTTACTCTCGGTTTTTCCAAAAAGAAATAGAAGCAAAATCAAGGGTAATTTCTTTTTTTTATGTTCGAAATACAAGCAAATAAATATTTTTTTGTGTATTCGAAATACTAGCAAGATGTATAGAAAAATAATTATTTAGCAAGTAAAAAAGCCATGCATGTTACCTAATAAAAGAGAAAAGAGTGAGGGTTTTACCATGGGGTGTTGGTTCATCTCCACGGTGGCCGGAGTAAGGAGAAGCCGAAGCGTCGATGTTAGTTTCGAGGTATTTCCGAGTGTGTTTTTGTGTTTTTAGCCTAAAATAAGATCCTAGGGGGTTAGATCTGGGCAATAGATGTGTTTTGGAGAGATTTGGAGTAGTTTGGGAATTCTGGCCGCCGTGTGCGGTGGTCGGACAGAGGTCGGCGGCTATACAAGACGACCGATAATGGGCCGGCCAAGAGGTTTGGGAGAGCTCTCGAGAAGCTCTTGCATTTTTTATGGTTTTGGGTGAAAATAAAACAAGTCTAAAAGGTGGTATATATAGGCTAAGGTAGTGGTATAATTGCATCTTAAATGCCTCCATCTTTGCCGTGTCTAACATTTTGGTCTCTATAGGGACCAAAATTGATATTACACCAATTTATTAAACATGTTTTAATTATCCAGTAAATTTATTATTTGAGTCATTCAAACTTAGCTGTGTTTTTACATTTTGGTCACTGGATATTTTGTTTTCAAGTTATTTTTATTTTATTACTCAGTTTTGTTTTATTTTAATTTAGTCCCTGTTAGTTCTTGATTTAACTACTGAATTCAGTTTGATCCTTGTTTATTTTTTTATTTAGTTACTATCTTTTATTTTCTTTCATTTTAATCCTTATAATTAGATTTTATTACAATTAGGTCCTTATCTTTTTAATTCTTTTAGAGCCCGATATTTTAGTTCTTTTCCCTTTTAGTCCCTCAAATTTCGATTAAACTTTTAATATTGACATAATTAAATAGGTTAAATAGAGCCTCTATTTTAGCTTAGATTTCAAACTAATCTCTTAATTTAGGGGATAATTCGAGTCGGCCCTCGCGTAAACGCTTGAGGGACCATCTCGGTTATTTGATTCAATAATTATTTAATATCAAATAAGATTAATACTAGAGACTACATATTTAGATTTGAGCCCCAAGGTTTTTTAATTCTCATAATTTAACACCTTAAGTTAGAAAAAACCTTAATTTATTTTAGATTAATTAGGATTGAATAAAATTTTGTTTGATTGCATTTTATTTTAACTTTAAGGCACTGTTCACTTATTTAAGGAATTAATAGTATATCTCCTGCAATTATGCTCAGGGGTGACTACTGGTGATTCTCTAAATAGGTCAACATCCTTTTTAAAATCACATCATGTTTTCTAAAAACGAGACAATATTCGGTTATTAAGCACAATAACTGATCTTCCGCATTTACGCTCGGGAGTGAATGCTATCGGCCTTAATAAACGAATACCCTTCTCAACTTGGTATCCATAAGGATTTTCAAAGGATTTTCAAATTTTTGGGCGCTTGTGGTGTGCTAATCCTTTCCTACGCGTAACCGACTCCCGAACCTGATTTTTGGATTTTCACAAACACTAAAACTCGATATTTTAATAAAAATAAAACGTTTTATTAAAATCACCTGGTTTTTATGGTGTTCCAATCTCACCTAAATGAATGGCGGTGATTCCTCACATTTCGAAATATTTTCGAAAGAGAAAACCCCCGAGTCGGTATTGGTCTTTCCCCGCTCGGGCGAAAACGGTGTCGACAGGGTTCATACCCATATGATGTTAGAGCCTTGACAATGGCAGTGCCCATCAGTTCTGAAGGTCTGTTCATGCTTTTGATCCCATGCCTTTTATTGTTTTATTTATTTACTTTTGAACTTGATTTTAAACTTTTTTCCTTCTAATTTCTAGGTTTTTATCTGATGAGGCAAAAGACTTGCAAGAAGACGAGGAAAAAAGTAAAAAGATCCCGATCAAGGGAGAAGAAGCCCCTTGATTTCTGTTGTGGTAAATGGGCTCATTTTGGAGTTCCCATGCTTGTCTCTGCTGGCGATGATGCGAAGTTGTTTGCCTACTCTGCAAAAGATTTTACTAGGTTCTTCCCACATGATATTTGCCCTGCACCTCAGAGAGTTCCAATACAACTGGTCACTAGCACAAGGTTCAATCAGACTTCTTTTCTACTGGTTCAAGCATCTTGTTGGTTAGATGTGCTCACTGTTCAAGTTCCTGATGTGGGTTCTGGTCCCTATGGTGATCCTGTGACCACTAATTTAGTAGCTCGGGTTAAGAGTTCGGAAAATCATTTGCAGTGCAATGTCTAGCTCAGGGGAGCTTTTTGGTTATTCTGACCACATTAGATCCAATCTATTTGCACTAAGGAGGCAAGCTGGCCAAAGTACATGGACCATTAGTAAAAGGCAACTTCCTCAGAACCTTCCATCTGCACATTCTATGGTTTTTACCTCTGATGGATCACGGTTGCTGATAGCAGGGCATGATAGAAAGATCTATGTAAGCTGGCTTTCTTGTATTATCCTAGTTGTACTTTTTAAATTGTGAATTTTCACAAAGTTATCTATCTCCTGATTTTTGGTTTTTAGGGGAGCAGAATGAGTATTTCCATCCTCTGAACTAACTTTTAGGTTTATTAGGTCTTTCACCTCTTTTCTAATGGCTTACTCAAATCAAATATTTTCTACCTCAAACTTGGAAATTCTGATTGTGTGTTAATATTGTAACATGATATGAATGTATGAATCAAACAAGGAAAAGAGCTTCCAATAGCAGAGTGTAGAACTTCTTTTAACCTCCCTAAACTATAGAATATGTGACTTTTGATAATGTGTTTGTGTGATCTTTGATAATGACTTACTCTCCTGGTTTTATAGATTGTGGATTTGGAGAGCTCGAAACTACTGGATACCTTCATACCTTGTTGTCAGGGGCACGAGAAGGAAGGGGACCCCCTGGTGGTGAGCCTCCTATTACTAAAATGTTCACAAGTTCTGATGACAAGTGGTTAGCTGCTATCAACTACTTTGGAGATATATATTTATTCAATCTGGAGATACCAAGGTAAGAAATTACATGAGACAATTGCTAAATAGGTATTTCTTAATAGCTAAGTAGTTGATATTGCCATTTCAAATATATGATTAATGCTGATGACATGAGGACAGGACGGCTGAATGTTCTATAATTTTTCGTTTGCTTTGTTTTTCTTTTGATTAAGTTATTGTTACTCTGGACTAGGCAACACTGGTGTATATCAAGATTGGATGGCACCTCTGTTACTGCTGGTGGCTTTCCTCAGAATAATAACATGCTTATTATCACAACATCTTCAAACCAATTCTACATATTTGATGTGGAAGCTAGACAATTGGGAGAATGGTCAATGCATCAAACATTCACTCTTCCCTGAAGATTCCAAGAATTTCCTGGGGAGGTTATCGGTTATCTTTCTCCCATCAGTCAAAATCAACATCTGTTGTGGTTTATAGTGCAAGGTGCTCTTCTTATACTGTTTGCCTTATGATGCTGCAGTGCTTTAACATGCTATGTTGTCATTGTAGCTGTATCTTTATATTTGTCATTATAGCAATGGTTTACTTTTTATACTTAAAACCGATTGCCTGCTGATCTCTTCCGCTACCTTCTCATCCTTGCATAATAAATATGCTACTATTTTGTCAGCATTTTATCTTAAAAATGCTTTTAAGCATTTTGGAGATCTAGTAAATGTATGGTCTTCTATAGCTGTGGTGCAGACATGGAAAAATATTCATTATGGCTAATTGTCTGGGGATTACCATGTTGCATTCACCGGAAACATTCCATTTCTATGAGTTCTTATTTATTTATTTATCATTAAGCATTTTAATGGATGGAATTGGTCGCTGCAGGGCAATGTGCTCAATCGATTTTGTTCAGGCAGTAGATGAAGACAATGAAAGTGAATTGGTTCATGAAGCCTTGTTGAATCTTCAAGGTTCTCTCACAAAAACGAAATGGAAACGTTTGTTGAGTGATGGTCGTCAAAAAGAGTCTAAACAGACCGGTTGAACAAATAATTTGGATATAATTGGTTTTCGGGACCCCGTTTTATTTATGGGACACATCGCAAGAAATTCCGTCTTGATCATAGACAAGCCATGGATGGAAGTGGTAAAGTCTTTGCAATGAAAGTGATTGGTTCATGAAGCCTTGTTGAATCTTCAAGGTTCTCTCACAAAAACGAAATGGAAACGTTTGTTGAGTGATGGTCGTCAAAAAGAGTCTAAACAGACCGGTTGAACAAATAATTTGGATATAATTGGTTTTCGGGACCCCGTTTTATTTATGGGACACATCGCAAGAAATTCCGTCTTGATCATAGACAAGCCATGGATGGAAGTGGTAAAGTCTTTTGATACTGCACCTGTTCAGGCACATATTTATGGGACATAACTTGTTGTTTTGGTAGACGAAAATCTGTTGCATACCTTTTACTAGCATTGCTTTCCTCGATTTTTGTAAACCAGCTAAATCAGTTTCGTAGGGTTTGATTGATAGTTTATTGAGTTGATTTATCGATTCTAGGCAACTATTGTTGTTGCAATACTGTTATGATTGGTTTCTTGATATGAGATGAGTTGGTAATGTTAAATGATTAATAGTGCTACAATAGTCAACTCATCTGAATTATTTAAACGAATTAATTCAAATATTAGTATAAGGGAATAATAATGACAAAAGCTCTACATTAAAATTTAGATTTAGGGTCCGTTTGCTAATGCTTTTAAAAATTACTTTTATTGAAAAAAAAGTTTATTTTAACTGTAAAATCATGTCAAACATGGAAAGAGAAATAACGGTGGAAACAATAGTTTTAAATCAATCGGAAAAGATAGGGTTTTAAACTTTTTTTATTTTGTGTAAAATACATTTTTATTATAATTATATTTTTTATTTGTATTTTTTACAGTTTATATATAATATTTTTTTAGATTTATTATAGTTTACAATTGATATGATTCATATATAAATGTAAATATAATTTAAATGATATATTTTAAATTTACAATATAATGTATGTAATTGACATTTTATCTTTTCAAACTCACTTTTTAAGTAATTCAAAAAAGTTAAATTTTAAACTATGATTTTAGAAAAATATAATTAATTATTTAAAAACCTCAATAGAAAAAAAATATATAATTTCATCACTCTTCGATTGTTATAAAAAAATAGTTATTTACACCCTATATTTTCATTCGCGTGTATATATATATATATATGACATATTTATGAATTTTATAAATTAATTTATAAAAAAATTAATAATATAACAGTTAAAATTTTAAACGAGTGTTACTGCCAAGTGAGTATATTTACAAATACATCCAAGTTTAGAAATCAAAACTTATAATTAACGTGAAATTTAACTTTTTATTATTATTAATATATATAGATGGAAAAACTCTCGAGATAATGTTCATGAAATAATTATTTCACGAGATAATGCACTCCCCATATTATTTGCTGAAATAGGGTGAAATCCACAGTGTTGGTCGTAGGTCGCCATGTCTTTCGGGCGACCTACTACGTTGCCAACTTCCCAGCGAGATGCACAAAGAGAATGAATGTTTGAACGTTTTGCATGAAACATGCACGTCCCCAACACATAGGTCGCCATGCCCTCCGGGAGACCTTGTAGGTCACCATACCATCCGGTGGCCTTATAGGTTGCCATGCCATTCGGGCGGCCTTGTAGGTCGCCATGCACTCCCAACATCCTACCACTGCATACTGCTCCCTCGTGATTCCTTTTGCAGCTGTTCACGAGACCTCATGCATGCAGCTGTAATAGCTGCATTATTGCAGCATGATTTGAGCTGCAAAGTGCAGCAATAATTCATGCAACAGCTGGCGTGATTCCCTTATGCATGCAACCTTAATAGCTGCATTATTGCAGCAGTTCACGGGTGGACCAGGTTGAACCAAAAAATATTGTCATTGATTCAATATATTGCTGCAATAATTCATGGGTGAGGGGGGTTGTCGATTGTAAGAAGGAAGAAAAAGGTGACGAAAAGGAAGAAGAAAGAAAGAAGGTAACTGAGCATAATTTAAATTAGTTTAAATTATTAGTTAGTTAGTTAGTTAGTTAGTTAGTGGGAATAGTTTAGGTTAGTTATATAATATAACAAAAATTTAGTTAATTACTTTGTAAGTTTAAGTTAGATTAATGTTGAAGAATAATATTTAATTTGTTTGTTGAATCATAATAAATTGATATATATGGTTTATTATATGTCGTTATTTTATTAAAAAATAGTTATAGTTTATATTAAATCATTTATTATGTCGTTTAATTTATATTAGTTTGTTAGTTTGTTGATATTATATTATATGAAAAAAACTAGTTAATTTGTTTTTTAGTTTTTTAGTTTAAGTTAAGTTGTATTATAATAAAAAATAGTTTATTAGTTTAAGTTATAATTTGTTATTTGTTCTTGTGCGGTGTAAATTAGTTAGTTAACATTAGATTATATTAAATGATTTTTTAAATATTCTTGTTTAATTTTTTTTACAGATTCATTCGAATGGCTGACCAAATTCCACTGCTGAGGCTTGACAATGAACATATTTCAAGTCATTTGGGAATAATGGTAAATAAAATATTTGTTTAATGAATTATTAGTAATAAATATTTGAATATTATTTTATGATTGTGATAAATTATTTGTATTATTTAATTGTAGGAGGACGAGCAGCGAGTCCTTCGTCATCAGTTACATAAAGTGCCCAAGCCACACCTATTGATAGAAGAAAACTTGCAAGAGGCTGGATTTTGGTATGTAACATTTGTGCGAGATTACATGTTGGTCCCAGGTTTGATCAGTGTGTTGATTGAACGTTGGAGACCAGAAACACACACATTTCATTTGTCGTGTGGTGAATGTACGATAACTCTGGAGGATGTGGCAATGTAACTCGGGGTCCAAACAAATGAGATGCCGGTGGTAATGTCACATGAGTTTAATAATGTGGCACAACTTTACAGCTTGTTTCTTGGGAAAACGCCCGTACCACCAGAGTGTAAAGGGTAGCGTGTGAGGTTGTCATGGTTGAAGAATGAATTTAAGCTTCAACCAAATAGTACGGAGCACGAAATTATATATGCAACATGAGCATATATATTACAGTTGATTGGGGGAATTTTGATGTCAGATAAATCCGGTAGTTATGTTCACACTCAGTATCTTCTTTTTTCAAGAAATTTTGAGAATAGTAAGCAATATAGCTGGGGATCGGCGATATTGGCGTTCTTGTATCGTGAGATGTGCAAGGCATCATTAGTTGTGAATGATAATAATACAGCAAAAATCGGTGGATGTCTGTTGCTGCTACAATTATGGGCTTGGCATAGACTTCCGTTTTTTACACCGATTAGTTGGACTGCGGTTGACTTTCCACTTGCCGGAAGGTAATATGAATTATCTATTTTAATATAAAATATTTATTATAAAATATTTATTTTGATTAAAATTATTGAACAAAATGGTCATATTTTTGTTTTGATTGATATACAGATGGAGGCATAAAATTGAAGGCACGGGGTTGGTACACAACAACATTAAAGAGTTCAGGCTGAAGATCGATATTAAGGCCAAAAAGGAGGTATGTATAATCTATTATTTTTAATTATTATTTGAATTAACTATATTATTTGATTTAAATCAATTTTATTGTTATTTAATTTTACAGTTTAATTGGAGACCATACATGAATGAAGAAATTTTGGCGTTGGTGCCACACGATGTTTTAGATGGGTTTCAATATTGGTGTACTGTTACACCATTGATCAATTTTGCTTTTGTTGAAATCCAATTTGGGGATAGAGTAATGAGGCAATTCCACTTCCACCAACCTATTCGCGGAGTCCATGGGATCATGACCTCCTCCAAAACTTAGATGTCGTCGACAGGTGAATTAGGTTGAGACGCATGACCACCTGCACAAATTTGATGGTCATCGTAAAGAAAATGTTAATTGGGTTGAGAAGCATGCAACCTACATTAATGCTTGAAATAATAGGGCTTCATTCATGCCAACTCTTGACGACATTCAAGACGACGACTTTAATTTTGAGACTTCGGCTTACCTTGCTTATTTTTGGGATAATGGAAAGTCGTTCTTGATAACAATGGTAGAGATGCGATAGTTTTTGAGGTTTAAGAAAAGATTTGGTAAAGCTGAATACTCTCTACCGAGTGAGAGTGGGAGTTCATCTCAATAACCTGAAGCAGAAATGACCGATGTGGATAATAGCGCACCACAACCGTTCAACGATGCGGGATCGTTGTATCACGAATTTGATGATGATTCTACTATCCCGACATATATACCAGAGTTTGTGCAGCCTGAGGCACCCATCTACTCTCCCATGTTTGCGTCGACGTATGACTTTGAACACATAGCAGTTCAAATGCCCCCAATGAATGAGGAGAATGGGTACCATACTCCTGAGCAACCGCAACGACCACAACGCATCAGACGTCCGCCCCGACATTATCATTCAACAACACCCCGGCATCGGCAACAATTGTAAACTCGTTTGTTATTTGTTACAAATTAAATATTGAATTTAGACTAGTTTTTTTAACCTTAACAAATTTGACATATTTATAATGATTTTTAGTATCAAATCATTATTATAATTTCATTACTAGTAATCATTAGTAAATCTTTAGTATCAAATAATTAAATATTCATAATAAATAATTATTAATAATAATTACTAAATCATTATTATCAAATCATTATTATAATGATTATTACTAAATCATTATTATAATGATTATTATCAAATCATTACTAAATCATTAGTACATTAAATATTAAAATCATTATTATCAAATCATTACTAAATCATATAATTATTAAAAAATCCTATGTGTTTTGATTTAAATAAGAACAGATTTGCTATTTGCTAAAAATTAAATGGTTAACGTTCGAATCTCTTTAAAAAACTTGATTACTAAATCATTAGTAAATCATTAGTATCAAATCATTAAATA